CTCTTCCTCTGACTAGGACTAGGAATAAACCCTAAAATCCAGTTGTCTGGTCCTTGCAGGACCTGGCTGCAGAGGCCCTGCTAAAACCTGCTTTAAAGAGGGCCAAATTTTAAATTTGAGGCTTTCCAAAATTGGCTTTACTACAGAGAGAGAAAGTAGAGAAGAAAAAAAGTAGACAGAAATAGAGGAGAGAGGAAAGAGAAAGAGAGGAGAGAAAGGGGACAGGAGAGAGAAAGGAGACAGAGGAAAGAGAGAGAAGGGGACCAGAAGCCGCAGGGGCGGAAAACTTGCCGCCAGCAAGTTCAGTTTTAAACTGACACTAAGAGCGTTTTTTTCCTTTCTCTACTGGCAGTCAGCCCCACCCAGCTTTGAGGCAGGCCACACTGCCTCAGGGTGCAGCATTTGCATCCAGAATCTGGCTTTAAGAAAAGCTTTCTAACTTTTTGTAACAAAAGTGACTTGTTAGCATAGTCGTTAAGGTGTGGGGCCTGCAACTGCAAGGTTGTTGGTTCGAATCCTCAGTGAGGCTAGTTTTAAATTAGGGAAATCAGTTTTAAACTAGTGAATTCTCTTGAGGAAAAGTTGGCATAAAAAAACAAAAAAAAACCCGCAAATGGGGTCGTCTATCTCCCCGCCTTGTAACCCCCACCAATGCATGACGGCCAACTTCAAGGTTGGATTCTCAGGCCAATATGGGGTGAAATTAACCCCTGGAAAACTCCGCTCTTTGTGTGAACTTGAATGGCTATCTTTCGGAATTAGGTGGCTAGATACTGGGACCTATGACCCAAAAATTACCCAGGCTGTATGGAAAATGGTTGCAGAAACTCCTGGATACACTGAGCAGTTTCCATACATCAACCAATGGTTGGGTTTAGTCCAATGGCCTCCCCCATGGCTAAAGCGCTGCATAAAACAGGCTAGACTTCAGGTCACATTAGCCAGCCCAAAAGAAACTCCCTTCTGGACCAGCCATTCTCCCCACCCCAGCGGAGGATCAGGAATTACTTCCACCCTACTCAAGGCCCTCTAAACCAGCGCCTCAGCACCCCCCTCGACAGTACTATTAACCAAACCTTGTCCCCCCTGCACACCCGTAGCGGGGTCCCCACACCCACCGGCAGTCCTCCCTTTCCAAGAGGCACCCCCAACAGAAGACAATTTGGGTCGCCCATTCTTTGTTCACATCCCCTTCTTGTCAAGTAACTTATAACTGGAAGGTGATAGAGATCAAAGTGAGGGCCGAAACACCAAGTGCAGGCACGAGCTTTAAGAGCAAGGGAAAGCTGCCGGGCTAAACCCAAAATTGGCAGCACCCATGGCATGGCAAAGGGGATTTCTATGGCCTGCAAGCCGGCAGAGATGCATCCAGTGTGAGGGACTGTGCAGGAGGGAAGTGCTGGGGTACTGCTAAGAGTTCCCGGGAGGGGGTTGTACTGGAGAACTGCTAAGACGGCGAGGGGGGGAGGGTTAGGTACCTGCCCAGATGGAAAGTTCCTGGGAGCGGGTAGTGCTGGGAGGCCGGGGAATTTAAGGCGGTGATGTTGCCAAGCTTTTACAATGAAACTCAACATCCCCCCTTCTCTGAGAAGCCCCAGGCTTTGACAGGACTCTTAAAATCTGTATTCCAGACACATCGCCCCACTTGGGACAACTGCCAACAATTATTACTAATTCTGTTCACCACAGAGGAAAAAGGCAAAATTAGACAGGAAGCCCTGAAAGCCATCATAGGTCCAGGGCGAGGAAAAAGTTTTTTCCCTCTACCTGACCCCAATGGGACCTCAACACCTTGGGCGGGGGGGTCACCAGGCTCTGAACACTTTTCACCAGTATCTTATAGAAGGGGTTAGGGGAGTGGCCCACAAGCCCAGCAGACTCTCCGAGGTAGGAACGGTAACTCAGGGTCCACAGGAG